CCCCAAAACCCCAAAACCCCAAAAGATTAATTTTCAAGAATCGATGTAAATTTGGATAGGAATTTATTTTGAGGAGTCTTTATATTTAAATAATGAAAGAATAATCATAGAGTTTGGCTGGCTTTCAAATAGAAAAGAAAAACACCAAAACTAATATCAAGAGCTTCAACTTCAAATTGCAACCTCTTGAGGTTAAAAGAGCCTACTCTCTCAGCTAAGGTATCAATCAACAACAGAATGCTAAAAAGAGAAACTCTAAAAGTTTGCAAGGAATGAATCTATAGAAATGAGACACAATGAATAACCCTATTAATGAAATATAATCGGAATTTGGCTTAAGACATATTAAAAATAACATAAGTCTAAACTTGACACATGCTGAAAATTCAAACATTATTAGAGATTCATAGCAAAGGGCTTTTCGGGATGCCAAAAATAACCTACAATCACCAGGGTAAAATTATCCTTCATAGTCGCTGTATACTGAAGATAATGTAATACCATCTTAAGAATTGAAGAGTAGGGATTTCGTATTTGATTACAATCCACTAGACTACCAATACTAAGATGAACCTGAGGAGAGCTACTAAATGACTGCAGAGATGAGGCAATTCGATGAAAACACAATAGATTCGTAAATGCGGAAAATACTAAGCGAGAGGAATGAGGACTCCGATGATATCAGAAGAAGAATACAAATTATGGAGGATCAATAGCTTATAATTTACGAAGAAAAGAAATATGCAAAATATTAATAGGCTCATCCTCTACCGGATATCGAAAACTTGCCTCTCAATACAGATGAGGAAAATCATTAGATCCTACATGATACAAACAGGGAAAGTAAGAATAACCAAGCCACTACTCATCATAATTAAAAGATGCCAAATCCTGCATACTTGAATAAACTGATCTAAATAGTTGAGAAGACTAGACTTGAAAGGGCTATTGGTTATAATGATAAGTACCCATGTCTAACTATCAGGAGAAAAATTTTGATTTTAAAGGTAACTATGTAAGAAACTTGTGGGTATATAGTAAGGAATCCATTCTTCGAATACTTCACCATTTTAGTTATTATTGCTAATTCTATTGTTTTGGCCCTTGATGATCCTCTGCAAATTAACACTCCCTAGTATTAGTAGCAAATAGATTACTTGTTCCTTGCTTTTTACACAATAGAGATGCTGATGAAAGTTATTGGTAATGGTTTTATCTTGACTAAAGGATCCTATCTAAGAGATGCCTGGAATTTCATGGATTTCATGATTATAATATTTGGATTTCTCTCCATATTTGCTAGTTAATAAATTAACATATCCAGTTTAAGAGTTTTCAGAGTTTTGAGACCTTTGAGAACTATAACTAAAATTGAGGGACTTAAACTATTGGTTAATGCTCTAATTTCAGCATTGCCACTGCTTAGAGACACAATCATTGTGCTATTGTTCTTTTTTATAATCTTTGCTATTGCTGGAGTTCAGTTGTTTTCAGGATATTTGAAGCAAAGATGTGTCAATGTTGAAACTGGGATACCAAATTATGATTTATTTTGCGGGTATGATCAATGTCCATCAGTAAATTTATTATCTGACGGAGAAATAGATCCTTATACTTCTAAATATTTTTGTGGATAGGCCAATCAAAACCCTAACTATGGCTCAACTAATTTCGATAATTTGCTCTATGCACTTTTGATTATTTTGTAAGCAGTTACTCTTGAAGGATGGACACCAATAATGGTGACCCTTGGTCGAACTATATCTCCTTTAGTAGTATTTTACTTTATCCCGATTGTTTTTATCGGAGCTTTTTTCCTGCTTAATCTGACTCTTGCCGTTATTAATTCCAAATTTAATGATGCTCATAAAGAGTAATAGAAAAAACAAAAATAGAATAAGAAAGGTGTAAAATAGATAGAGGATAAAAAGGATATTACTGAATCTCAACATATAGAAACAAACTCAATTAAAAGATATCTAGTAGCAAAAAGAGCTGCGCGTAAGATGGTCCTCTTTATGCAAAAAAAGAAAAATAATTCCCCTGAAGTTAAAGGTTATCCAGTGGATAATGGAGGAGAAAATAACGCCTCAGGATAACAGGAGAGTGATAGTTTTCGATCTAACTAAAACTTATTATTTGGATCAAACGGGACAGTTGATTATTCTTCTCGCAAAAATTTAAGTCATTCAAAGACCTTTGAGATTGATTTGAACAAATATCCAAGTAACAGTAGTGGGGCCCGTAGAAGTATATCTCTTTTAGGAGATCGTAAATTTACACTAAGAAAAGGAGTTATTAAGAGTACGATTTTAGAGGAATAAGAGGAGGAAGATGTTTAACTAAGACAGCTAACTAATAGGCAAAATACTTATGCAATATTAAGTTAAGGAGAAGGTGATAAGGCTTCTCAAGGTCAGAAAAAATAAAAGTTCAAACTTGATTTAACTAAGATCGAGAGCATGCTTGACTTTGAAAATATTAACAATGAAATAATGATTAATCGAGATACCAGCAGAGTCCAAAAGCTTATCGAAATATCTAGTCGACCAAATGATCAGTTTAAGCCTAACCTATTCACAACTATTAAAAATGCAAACATCTTAAATCAAATCAAAGGACATATAAATGATCTCAGCAAGAAGTGTCAATTGGGGAATACGGATAGAGCTAATGATGATCCAACATAGATTTAGGATTTTAAGGTATCCTCTCTAACAGCAAGAATATAAGAGTTTGAACTAGACAAAATAATAGAAGAACAAGAGCAAATGAACTAAATTTAAGATTAACCTAAGGATTATCATTTTGATAATAAAGATCAATCTAGAGAGTTCGATTCTTATGGTGATTTTGATTCACTTTTGAAACCAAGTTCCAACTCTTTTAAGTAAAAATCAATTTAGAGTAGAATTGGAATCAAGCAATCATTGCGCCGCAAAAGTAAATTTAAAAGCCTCATCTCTTCTAAGCAATCAAGGATCTATTAAAATGATAATGATTTTACCATCAATAGTATTAATTTAGAGGAGTTATCAAAATCAAGTCATCCAATCACCATTTAATCAATATTCCAAACAAAAGAAGTAGTAGAGGAGAGAGAGAAAAAAAATTCTAGAGCTAGACTCGAACCAAGAATTATCAAAGATGAACAGCTATCGTCACCAAATGCATCAGTTAAATTTGATGCAGGATAAACAATATCTAATCAGCTTTTCGAGAAAAGTGAATCTTTAAATCTTTAAGTGATTGAAAATTAGATTAGGGAACTTAATCCCCCTTCAGATGCTAACATTCAAAATGGAGATGATCCTCTACCTATTCCACAATCTAGTAGAAGATAAAAAAAGTAGAAAATTCATTAGAATTATGACTCTTAATATGTCAAAGATTAACTTACTCAAAGGTCTAAATAAGAATAATCAATAAGATAAACGATCGACGAAAGATAAGTTTAATCATAAAAATCAATAAAAGCAGAAAAGCCAACATTTAAGTCTCGACTGATGAATGCTGTTAATAGGAATTACCATGAGACTTAGCATCCTAATTATTTGGCTACATAAAAAATAGACTAGTACATCTAAAAGTTTGAGCTGAAAAGAAGGTAGAAGATGGTAGGCTTCGATCAAAATAATCAAAAGATAGTGCTGAATCCCCAATCTCATTTTAAATCGACTTCTGAGTTCGATGTATTTGAGAGAAAATACATCAATAATGAAATCAAGGTTGAAGAAGATTTGGATTATCCAAAGGCTAAATAATAGAGAGCAAACTCTTAGCCCTACAAACTAAAAGTACTGTATGAGTAAAATAAGGAAAGTGATGATGAAGATAGCAGTAGAAATTATAAGAAAAACAACAAGTAAAGATATGATGATTTAGAGCCATTCGAATTAGTAGGCTCTGTCCATCATTAAAAATATCTTATTGAAAACCCTATCAAACAAATATCTAAGAGGTCCAATTTTGTGTATACTGGGAGTCTCTCAATTATGATGTCCAAGAAAATGGAAGAAAAGCCACTTTATCAATCGTAGCAGCTTCCTTCCTCCTATGCAATATAGACATAATCAATTACAGCAAGAGGACATAACGATTCTAACAATTCTAAAATTTAAACTATAACAAGAAAACGCACAAATAACAATGGTAATATAATGGTTTAATCTCTAAATGAATCTGTCTAAGCTAGAAATTTCATCGGTGAAACTCAGTAGTCCATACCTTCAATTTTAAAGAAATAGAAAACTAGGTTGTCTGATGGAAAGAAAAATCAAGCTCCAATGACTCCACAGAATTTCAAATCTATAGCAGGATCAACAAATGGAGCTAAGCAAAATGCAGAAAAAATTCCATTGTTCCCAGTAGATAAAATAAAAAGTGAAATCGGTACTCTTAGCAGATTAATAGATGATGTATAGACAATTAATCATTTCAAAGGATATTAACACTAACTTCATCATGAAATCTCAGAAGAGTCTGACAAAGAGGACTTTATGAAACCTTAACATATTAGAAAGAAAGGTCAATGGAGTGGATAAGATGTAATGTCTTAAATGAATCTAGATAGAGCAGATTTAATTATAGAATAACTAAATGATGTCGTTATTTTTCCAAAAGGAATTCATGGATGCATTAGAAAAATCAGAAATAAACTCAAGAAATTAGTGATGAGTACCTTTTTTGAAAATTTTATGACAATATGTGTGACCATTAATACAATCACTCTAGGCATAGATAGGTATTCCAATTCATCAATACTTTATCACTTTATAGATATAACATCCCAGATGATCAACAAAAAACACTAGTATATTTTAACAATGTCTTTACAGGTGTTTTCGTTGCAGAATTACTACTAAAAATTGTAGGACTTGGCATTAAAAGTAAGTGATAGATAGTTACTAACTACTTTAAAGAATATTTCAAGGATAAGATGAACTACTTAGATTGTGCTGTTGTCATCATGAGTATAATTGAATTGGGAATTTTTTCATATCAGCAATCAACTTTTACTGCTTTCAGAACTGTTAGAATATTCAGGTAACAAAAATTAAATTACTCTAATACACTCTATAGAACTTTTAGAGTCTTAAGAGTGGCAAGGCTTTTGAGATAATTGCAATCAATGCAAATCATCATCGGAGTTATATCCAGATCTATTTCTTCATTTGCCTATATTGCTCTTTTGCTATTCCTCTTTATCTTTATATATGCCCTACTTGGAATGTAGTTATTTGGTGGTTATTATCAATTTGAAGATGGAGTTCCTAGAAGTAATTTTGATTCCTTCAATTCAGCAATCATTCTCACTTTCTAATTATTGTAATGATTAATAACACATTTTCATAATACTTATAGGACAATGGAAAATTGGAACACTTACATTTATGATGCTTTGAGATCATAAGTTAATGAATTTATAGTGATAATATTCTTTGTATCTTGGATTTTCATTGGAAACTTCATTTTGCTCAATTTGTTCTTGGCTATTTTACTGGACAGTTTCCTTGAGGAGTAAGAAGAAGAAGAGGAAAATTTAACTCTTGACAATTAGAATAAAGAAGATCTAGAAAAAGAAAGGAAATTAAAATTGATGAGGGCAAAAGAAGCATCTAAAAAGCTGCTTAAAGTTAATAATAGACATAAAACTAATGGTAAATAGACCTTAGTTCAAATGCTCTAGTCTGGTATTCGATCCAAGACTGATCCAGATGGTGATCATGAAAATAATGAAAAATTCGAAGAAATGGATGAAAATCAGATATAGCAATTTTTGAAGAGGTATAGACTTGTAAAGGACTAAGATGAAGTAGACTTGATTCTTTAAAACATAGGTTGCCAAAGAAGTCTTTATATTTTCAACAGAGATAATAGGATAAGGTAAGAATAAATACTATCCTTATATAAATATCTAGAATTTATTGCTACAGGCTTGTGACTCACATCAATTTCGAAAGATTCATCTTAATATTAATAGCACTAAGTAGTATTAAGTTAGTTATAGATACATATACAGATAGCTTTTAAGATCCTTTGAAGGTATAGAAAATATCATAAAACCTAGATACTTGCTTTACAGTTGTATTTGCTATTGAAGCTGTTATTAAGGCTGTGGCATTTGGATTTGCTCAAGATTAATATTCATACTTAAGAGAGTCATGGAACGTGCTAGATTTTTTTATTGTAGTATCAAGTTTGATAGATCTAATTGTTATCGATGTCAATCTACCTGCTATTAAGATTCTAAGACTACTTAGAACAATGAGGCCTTTGAGATTGATATCTAAAAATTCAGGAATAAAGACTCTTGTGGTTTGTTTATTAGAGTCTATTGGTCACATCATTAATGTAGTTATTGTGCTTTTGATTGTTTGGCTTATGTTCGCTATTCTAGGGGTGTCCCTGTATAGTGGAAAATTCTTTTATTGTACCAGAAATCCCTATACTAATCACGATGAGAGTTAATGCGAAAAAGATAAAGGAATTTGGTCTATTTACAATAGCAATTTCGATGATGTCCCTAATGCTCTTGAAACATTATTCATTATTAGTACATTTGAAAATTGGATTACTATTATGTATCAGGCTATTGACTCTGGATCTTAAGTTACTGTAAATTATTTAATCTTAATTTCATAACTTATATTTTAATAGGGTCCTGAGAAAGATTCAAGCCCTTTTTCGGCATATTATTTCATTTGCTTTATATTGATAGGGACTTATTTCTTCTTAAATTTCTTCATCGGCGTCCTTTTCTTAAACTTTAAATACGCTTAGAAAAATGAATAAGGAGGTGAGTTTTTACATTTTTATATTTGATAAAATAGATTTCAAAGAGGAAGAACTTCACTGGATTGATATGCAGAAAATGATTATCAAAACTAAACCAGGTAAGAATTTAATCTAAAAAGTTTATAATTTTCCTATAGATTATGAAACTATTGATGTTCCAAAGTAGAAATTTAGGTTGTGGGTTCATAGTATGGTTACCAAAAATAGTTTCGATTATTTTATAATGGCATGCATTATATTGAACATGATATAAATGGCTGTTTACTATGAAGGAGCATCGAAAGATTTCATTTTTATATTGGACATAATTAACTACATCTTTACCATTATTTTCTTATTTGAGGCTGTGTCGAAAATTATTGCTTTTGGCTAGAGATATTTCTAACAAAATTGGAACAAATTTGATTTTTTTGTAGTTACTGCATCTATTTTAGACATTATACTTAATCTTCTAAACAATATAAACTCAAGGTTTTTAAGAATTGGACCACAACTAGCAAGAGTGTTACGTGTGCTGAGAATCTCAAGACTCTTTAGACTTATTGGAAAATCAAAAGGTCTATAGGCTTTGATTTAGACTATTGCCTTCTCATTGCCTCCACTTTTTAATGTGTTTTCTTTATTGATGATAATGTTCTTTATCTATGCTGTACTTGGGGTATTCTTATTCGGTGATGCTGAGAATGGTAATGTCATTAACAGTGAATTCATGAATTTTAAGAATTTCGGTAATGCAATGGTACTTTTACTTAGGATTTTAACTGGTGAAGATTGGAACAGTGCAATGTTTGATGTTTCTAGGAATGTTGATCATTATATCGCAGGAATTTACTTCATTTCCTTCCGTTTGATAGGTTCTGATGTCATGCTCAATTTGTTCATTCTAATAATTTTGCAATAGTTTGATCAATACTATCTTCCATAGGACAATGTGATTTAAAAATTCAAGGACAATCTAGAATATTTTAAATAGACTTGGAAACAGTATAGCATTAAATATGGTGGTCTTAAAATTAGAGAAGGTCTGCTGATTAAGTATTTTCAATCTATGAACGAACCATTGGGTATGCCTGATAAGGATGAGAAAGAAATTAACAAGGAAATAATCAAAATGGGTATAAGGAGTGAAGACGGCTGGGTATTTTTTAATGAATTGCTTTACAGAAGTATGAAAAGAGTTTATGGGGATAAAGATTTTTAGAGCGATATAATGAGAATAACTGAATTCTAAACTCTTTTCAAAATTCATTAAATGAATTAAACACTCATAGGCAAGAAAAGTTTCTTTAAGAAGAAGGTGAATCAGTACAAAGATATGGCCTTGAACAAGTAAAGCTGTAACCCATTCCAATAACTCTACTATTATCAGCTAAGTTTCAAAGTATGGAAAGAATTCGCTTGCGAAAAGCAAAGAAACATGTCGATGAAAACAACCAAGCAATAAAAGGATGATAATGATTATTATGAGCATATCAATGATTATATTTCAAGATTTAGAGAAGATGATCCATCATACATCCAAAAAGAAATTAATTATACCTACGAGTCTGAATACATAAGTTGTGATGAAACTGAAACAGAAGAAATTTAATATTAATCATTGAGAAGGTCAATGTCTAAGAATCCCATGATTGTAATTGATAAGTCTGGAAATCAGGTTCACCCTCGGCAATCATTGGAGGAGGTATCTGAGGAAAAGTCAGCTGATCTATAGATGACTATTCAATCTCAAATTCAGTTAAAAGGAGTTCTTAATCGCCGTGAAAGTCATAACCTACTTTTGAAAACCGGAAGTTAAGCATTAATAATTGATAAGAAGAGTGCATAAAAGAACAAAAACTTTTCATTGGCTTCAAGGCAGTCCAAGTCTAAATCATTCATAGAAATGAATGAAAGCTCGTCAAACAATGAAGCAAACTCCAAGTAATACAAGGTCAAATCAGATTTACTGAAAATTTAATCAGAGATAAACATTGATTTAAGTTAAAACAATAAGGAGGGAAATACTCCAAGCAATGGTGATTTTGATAAGCTTTTGGGATACGATGATAATATTTCTCCGAGATTTAGATTCAGAAAGTATAAAAATAACAGCGATGCTCATATTTAAGTAAAGCAGGAAGAGAAGCATTAGTAATTCAGCCAATGAGTTGATATTTATTTCTCATTAAGATTAAAGCTTTGTCACTTGACTGACTGCTAACAATTCTAAATATTAGAAAATGGATATTTAATAATGAATTAAATAATCGTTTTAATTTTTTCTAAATTTTATATTCTTACCAAAAACTCTTTGCTTTTTGAATTTGAGTAATTGGGGTTTTGGGGTTTTGGGG